CACGTGTCTGCAATCCCAGGTACTGGGGAGGCTGAGGCATGAGAATTGCTTGAACCTGGGAGGCAGAGGTTGCTGTGAGCCAAGATCATGCCACTGCACTGCAGTCTGGGCAACACACAGGAAGACACAGTCTTAAAAAAATCTAGGAAAACTTAACAAGGCAGACGAAGAAAATCTAACTGCAAAATTCAACAAGTTGCACGGATTTTTGGAGTAGAAATGTTTTTGTACTGACAAACCTATGTAGTCATCTGAGGTGCATGTGTTTAAAGAAGTGGCAATGTTAACTGAGAGATGCAGGAAGTGAGGAAATCCTGCTCATTCCAGGTGGATGTCTCACTTACCTAAACAAACACTGGACAACAATCTCGATGGCCAGGCTCTTCCCCACTCATTAGAAGTAAAGACTTGAAACTGATTTTCCGAACATTGTCTCTACATATAAAGATGCTTAACTGTTGTTCCAAAAGTTCCGAAGTGTGAGCTGAACCTGGTAATCAGTATAGATCATGCTGAATACCCAAGACTTAGGGCTCAGAGTGACTTGGATGCCCATCCCACCTGATATGGTTTGGATCTGTGTCCCAACCAAACCTCATGTAGAATCGTAATCCTCAGTGTTGGAAGTAGCACCTGGTGGAAGGTGACTGGATCATGAGGGTGGCCCTTCAGGAATGGGTTAGCACCATACCCTCAGTGTTGTTCTCATAATAGTGAGTGAGTTATCTTGAGATCTGGTTGTTTAAAAATTCATACCAACTCCCTCTCTCTTGCTCCTACTCTACCATGTAAGAAGCCTGGCTCCCGTTCACCCTCTGCCGTGATTGCAAGTTTCCTGAGGCCTGTCCAGAAGGCAAACAGATACCTTCATGTTTCCTGTACAGCCTGTGGAACCATTAGCCAATTAACTCTTTTCTTTATAAATTACCCAGTTTCAGGTATTTCTTTATAGCAATGTGAGAACTAACTAATACACCACCTCTGTAACTGGCCAGCTCTCTGAACCTGGGCAAATGATTTAACCTCAGTTTTGTCGTTTTTTAAATGGGGATAACAATAGTAACTTTTCTATTGTAACAACTTATTTAGGCAAGGAACACACAGCCCTGTTAGCTACTGAATAGTAGTAGGAGGTAGCAGTGGGTCCCACCCAAATCTGTGTATGTGGATCGTTGACAAACTCCTAAACCCACAGCTACTTTGGGATTCTTAGAACCAGTACAAACCCAAGCCACTCTGAAGACAGGCCTAGGGCCCCTCCCTAGTGAGAAGGCAGTCCCAGGTCCACACCTCCAGGAGGACAAGCAGCCTGAATGATCAAACACTTTGTTGTTACTGTCTCTGAAGCCTACATTAATTTTGGGCTTAGAATCTATCTGTGGGACTGGGGTAGGAACTGAAAGCCCCTTGAGTTTTATTGCAAAATTTATCATTCATGTCTACTTTTCTCTGGAGAAGACCCTTGCTTTCATCAAATTCTCAAACCTAGGTCTTTTCACAATCCATAGAAGCTTGAGAAGGGCTGCTCTAGTCTCTTGAAGAATGATCTCCTTCCTCCCTAGAGCTCTTATGTGGGGACACAGATCCCTTCATTATTCCCTTTCGCCAGTCTCACTGCCTGCATTAGTCCCTTTGCGTCGCTGTAAAGAAATATCTGGGCTGGGCGCAGTGGCTCAAGCTTGTAATCCCAGCACTTTGGGAGGCCAAGGTGGGTGGATCACGAGGTCAAGAGATCAAAACTATCCTGGTCAACATTGTGAAAACCCGTCTCTACTAAAAATACAAAAAATTAGCTGGGCATGGTGGCGCGTGCCTATAATCCCAGCTACTCAGGAGGCTGAGGCAGGAGAAGTGCCTGAACCCAGGGGGCGGAGGTTGCGCTGCGCCGAGATTGCGCCATTGCACTCCAGCCTGGGTAACAAGAGCGAAACTCCGTCTCAGAAAAAAAAAAAAAAAAACCTGAGACTGGATAATTTATAAAGAAAAGAGGTATATTTTGGCTTGTGGTTCTGCAGGCTGTACAGGAAGGATGGTGCCAGCAACTGCCTCTGGTGAGAGCTTCAGAAAGTTTACAATCATGGAGGAAGGTGAAGAGGGAGAAGGCACTGCATGGTGAGAGAGGGAGCAAGAAAGACAGCAGAGTGGTGCCACACACTTTTAAGCAACCAAATCTCACATGAACTACCAGAGCAAGAATTCACTCATCATCCAGGGGTTGGTGCCAAGCCATTAATGAGGGATCTGTCCCTGTCGTGATCCAAACACCTCCCACCAGGTCCCATCTCCAACAGTGGGAATTATGTTTCAACATGAGATTTTCAGGGGGCAAACATCCAAACCATCTCAATGCCCTAGTCCTAGACCTATCCCTCTGATTTTGTTTGTTCTCTTGGCATCACCCTTGTTTTCATCTCTAACCTACTTTCTCTTAAACCTCTTTTCAAACTCTTTTCATCATTTTATCCGACCACATTTGTTCTGCCCTGTGTCTCGGACAAACTGTCTCTGCTGTCCGCTGTTGTTCAAACTGACAGGGATTTAGAAGGTTTTCTTATTTATGGTAAGTACTTGGACAATTTCCATGGAGAAATAGTTGGGGCCAGGTGCGGGGGCTTATGCCTGTAATCCCAGAAATTTTGGAGGCCGAGACAGGCGGATCATTTGAAGTCAGGAGTTCAAGACCAGCCTGGCTAACAGGGCAAAACCCCATCTCCACTAAAAAATGCAAAAAATTAGCCAGGCACAGTGATGCATGCCTGTAATCTTAGCTACCTGGGAGGCTGAGGCAGGAGAGTTGCTTGAACCCGGGAGGCAGAGGCTGCAGAGCTGAGATTGCTCCGCTGCACTACAGCCTGGGTGACAGAGTGAGACTATCACACACACACACAAAAGAAGAGAGAATGATTGGTCACATCTGTAGTTCAAGAGGCTAGCAGTGTTGGCTTATTCCTGTTGGTATGTAATTACACAGTTCTACTTCCAGAACTCCAGAAAAGACCTTTGAAATGGAGGCAATTCTCCCAGTTGGATGCCTGAAATGTTACGTGCAGAGGGAAATACGTTTTAACTGAAGATTCTGATCTATGTGCAAATAAATGCCCATGAGCAGAGGGGGATTATCTGTCACCTACACTTTAGTATCAGTGAATGATTGGGAATGGGGAAGGTTGTTATGGTGTGAGAAGGGAAAAGGAGTGCACTGAGCCAACAGGTTGGGGCAGTAGGGAAGTAAATCCACAGGGGTGAGGTGAGTGGGGAGGGAGGTATGTAATGAAGGTCCACTCCTGACTTTCCCCTTTTGCACAGGATCTATCTGGTTCTGAATTGTTGATTTGAACATATGAATGATTCCTGTTTTGTCCCATCACTTTATCCTTAGCAATGAATGGCAGGGGAAAGAACAAGGGGGCAGCTTTTTACCACCTAGCATGGCATACAAAATAGAGAAAAGAGGGATGTTTGACTTTGGGCATATCTGTAAGTGGGCGTTAGCTGTTAAACTGCAGGTACATACATTTCCAGAGGAATTCAATTAAAAAGGGAAAGACTATAAGATATAGTGTCTCATTCCTTCTTGGCAGCTGCATATATGAGGGAAAAGCAAAAGAGAGGAAAGAAAGAAAGGAAAAAAGAAAGAAAGAGAGAGAGATGAAGGAAGGAAAGAAGGAAGAAAGAAAGAAAGGAAGGAAGGAAAAGAAAAGAAAGACAGCTGAAAGGCATATATTTCTGGAGAGCTCAAAAGATAAAAATGATAGTCTCACTTGGAATTTATCTTAATGAGCAAGACTCAATCAATGGAAAGTGACAGATGGGATAATTTAAAGTTCAAGTTTCCTTCTTCTGTTTCTTTGCATAAAAGAGAACCAACTTTTTGATCATTTTTTTGCTCAGCTGTAATATTCTGCTTCATAAAGAAGATTGAACATCAAATACCACATTAACATGTTATTGGCATCTTTCTTTTTTCATATCCTACATGTTGATTGTAAAGCCGTCCAGGGAGACTGATAGCTGCAATATATTAGTTTCTCAACTTCAAATTAATTTCACAACAGTACAGTAGAAAGCCATATATGCTTTGCTCCAAGAAGTATCTCAAAGTAGGTAATATTCTTTTTCTCTGAAGCCCTGGGTCGTTATTTTATTTATTGGATCAGCTATCTACTTTACTTTCTTGTGATCCATTACCTGCTTCAGTAATTACCACCATCTCTGAAATGTCCAAGCCCTGGCAAGTAGATTGAATGCCTCTTTGCACATGCCTCCAGAGTGAGCTGCACAAGCACAGTAGGAGCTGGGGAACTGTGTGGGGTGTGAAATCTATGTCTCTGCAATTCCCATTTCTCATTCAGACCTCCAGCTTGACTCAGTAGGTCTGTGTAGACAAAGCCTAAACCAATGACCACATGGAGGAACAAGGCAAAGAGATGCCCAATGACTACAAGGGCCTTAGTTGAACTCATCAAAAACATATCCTCCTCCTCCCCTCTAGCCCAAGCTCCCCTACCTGAAGAGAATAGATCAGAGCACTTTGTCGTTTTGTCTCTCATCTAGGGGAAGCGGTTGTAAAGAAAGGGACATGAGCACCTTTCCATCTCATCTGTGGGTATCAGAATCCCTTTAGCTGTCAGAGGATCAAAACTGGATCCCATTTTTCCACCCTTTTCTCTAGAGCTGTGCTGTCCAATATGGCAACCAGTAGCCACATGTGGTCATTTAAATGTAACTTACTTGAAATTAAATTCAATTAATTCAAATTAAGCTCCTCTGCTGGGCATAAATGTAACTTACGTAAAATTAAATTCAATTAAAATTAAATTAATTCAAATTAAGCTCCTTGGCCAGGCATAGTGGCTCACGCCTATAATCCCAGCACTTTGGGAGGCCAAGGCAGGTGGATCACCTGAGGTCAGGAGTTCAAGATCAGCTTGGCCAACATGGTGAAACCCCATCTCTACTAAAAATACCAAAAAATCTTAGCTGGGTATGGTGGTGGTTACCTGTAACCATCGGGAGGCTGAGGCAAGAGAATCGCTTGAACGCAGAAGGCAGAGGTTGCAGTGAGCTAAGATGGCGCCATTGTACTCCAGCCTGGGCAACAAGAGTGAAACTCCTAAAAAAAAAAAAAAAAAAATTAAGCTCCTCAGTCACGTTAGCCACATTTGAAGGGCTCAGTAGCTCCATGCAGCTGGTAGCTATCGTACTGAAGAGTGCAGATAAAGAACACTACCATCATCAAAGAAGGATCTCTTTGACAACTCTGCTGTAGACCTCAACTGACTCTGATCTTGAAGGAAGAGCAGAATATCGATAATTGCAGAAAGAAGGAAGGACATTTCAGGACAGAATTTGCAAAGACAAATGTTCATTGGTTTTGTACGGTACAAAGCCCTGTAAAAAAAGCAACTTTAAATGTTGAGGTTTGTATAGCAGTCTCAATTTTATAGGAATGTTCAGAAAGAATGAAGAGTATCCAAAAATGATGTAAAATGCAACTATGTAAAATAAAATTAAAGATGAGGTAGGGGAAGCGAAGTAAAGGACTTTCCATGGGCATAAATGGATAATTAAATCTTTCCCCACTTTTAAGTTCAACTAACTTTTTTTTCCAGTCAGTGTCCTAATTGTTTTGTTTAGAAAATATACTTGCTGTAACTATGAAATTAAATTACTATTGTTAATCATCATCATCTTTCGTACCCTGAGTTAACACTTATTTGTTCGCTCAAATATTTTTCATCAGCTACTGTGTATCAGAAATTCTTCTAGGCCTTTGGGATATATCAGTAAACTGGCTAAATTAAAGAGATATCTGCATGCAGAAGCTTATATCCTAGTGGACAGAGATGAAAGCAAACAATAAACACCATAAGTTTGGTAAATGTATGGAATATCTAAGAGTGATAAGTTCCATGAAATAATAGAGCACAGTAGAGGATATACACGGTTATAATGTTCATGCTGGGGCAGGCAGGAGGGTTAAGCATATTCTCTTGGATCTTTACATGGGGCAGTATCCTTATTTTATATGTGTAGAAGGTAAAGTTCAGGTTCGCCAAAGTTCATGCATATATACACATATATATCATACCATTTGTTGGTAAGCATGTGACTTACATGTCATATGTAAGGGCAATTTGGCAATATGACAGTATCTATTGCCTTTAGTCACAGCATTAATTCTATTCCCAGCTTTTTGAATCAGTCGGAATAGGCTGGATTATACTGTGGCAACAATGAACTCCAAATTCTTAGGGTCTTATAACTGAAAAAAGTGTATTTCTTGTTCAATCTATATGTACACATGTTCACCAAAAGTCCTGTTCATAGGATCACTGTTCATAACAGCCCGGCACTTAAAATTAGGACAGTGCCCATCGATATGAATAAATGTTGGATGAATAAAATGTGGGGAATTCACACAATGGAATACTTCACAGCAATGAGAATGAATTAACTGTAACCCCTTACAATATGGATGAATCTCATATACATAATCTTAAGTGAAGAAAGCCTAACAGAGTAAATGCTGTATGTGGTAGGCAGATTTCTAACATGGTCCTCCAAGATTTCATGACCCTGGTGTACACAGACCGTCTCCCAGTTATTCAACCAAACACTAATCTAGGTACCAGTGTAAAGGAATTTTGCACATGCAATTACAGTCTCAAATCAGTTACCTTAAAATAGGGAGATTATCCAGGTGGGCCTGACCTACCCACATGAGGTCCTCTAAAAGCAAATTCTTTTCTTGGGCTGCTTGCAGAAGCAGAAGTTGAAGAGTTGAAGCTTGAGGGAGACTGACATGAGAGAAGCTCTCTGTTGCTGGCTTGGAAGTGGAGGAGGCCTTGTGAAAAGGAATGTAGATGACCTCTAGTTGCTGAGTGTCACCTCTAGTTGACACCCAGCAAGGAAATAGAGACCTCTGTTATAACTGCAAGGAAATGAAACTCTGCCAACAACCAGTGAGCTTGGAAGAGGACCCTAGGCCCCCGATGAGATCACAGCCCTAGCTGATACCTTGATATGAACCCCATAAGGTCCTAAGAAGGGAATCCATCCACACTGTGCCTGGATTTTTGATCCATAGAAACTGTGAGAATATATCCGTTTTGTTTTAAGCTGAGGTATTTGTGGCAATTTGTTACATAGCAATATAAAACTAATACACTCTGTGATTTGATTTATATAAAGTAAAAAGCAGGCCAAATTAATCTATGCTGATATAAATCAGAATAGTGGCCACTGGCTGGAATGGGGCACATGAGAGGATTTTGAGGTGTTAGTAACATTTCTTGATATGAAGGCTGATTACATATGTATGCTCAGTTCATGTATGTTTCATCAATTGCAGACCTATTCTCACTTTTTCATGTGTATATTATAGTTCAATAAAACAGCAAAAGCATACATCCAAAACATACATTTCACTTTTTATAAAAACCCCACAAAAACAACATTCTCTTTTTTAACATGTGTATTCATATGTGTACTTGCTTACAATAAAGCATCCCCCCCACCAACATAAAAAAACAAGCTGAAAACAGTGGCTACCTCAGGGAAAGGGAATGGAACTGTATGGAACATATGTATAAGGCATGGTGGTTCGCACCTGTAATCCCAGCACTTTGGGATGCAGAGGCGGGAGCATTGCTTGAGCACAGGACAGCCTGGGCAACACAGTGAAACCCAGTCTTTACAAAAATTACAAAAAGTAGCCAGTCAAAGTGGCATGCACCTGTAGTCCCAGCAACCCGGGATGCTGAGGTGGGAGGATTACTTGAGCCCAGGAGCTTAACACCAGCCTGGGCAACATCTCAAAACCTGAGGTGGGAGACTGGGGTGGGAGAATTGCTTAAGCCCAGGGAGGTTGAGGCTGCAGTGATTGTGCCACTGCAAGTCAGCTTGGGCGGTAGAGTGAGACCCTGTCTCAAAAAACAAAAAAAAGAAAGAAAAAAACCCCATATATATAGATCCAATGACGTTATTTGAAGAGTAATTCTTGTCTATAGTGGATATAAACATTCCCCTAGGGATGTGATTTGAAAGACATTAAGAGGTTCCCAGACATCGCTCCTGCTTCATTCAATAGCAGTAACTGCCGCTTGTTGGATACCCATTCTCTATAAGGACCTGTAAAAGGTCTTTAGTGTATATTATCCTCCAGTTTTTCATGCATACCTTACAAGGTAGTTGATTAGTATCATCCCCATTGTACAGAGACAGAGGAGGAAACTGAGGCACTGATAGGCTAACTACTTGCCTAAGGTCACACAGTTAGTAAAAAGCAGAACTGAGATTCAAATCCTTATCTGATCCTAGAGAGTGTGCTCTTTCCATTACAGTTGCCTGCTCTTTAATGGTCTTATTAATTCTTACCCTCGGATAAATGACTCATTCATTCTAAATGGAGCTTTGGGAAAGGGAATCATCTGAGTCCCTCACCTGTGGTGGAAATGAGTGTTCCTCAGGTTATGTTATCCCTCATTGGCACTGCAGGGCACTTCCAGGTATGGTGGGAAGTCTGGGAGAGTGGGGCTAATATAGAAAGAAAGATGCTGTGTCCCAAAAAGACAGACTCAGACACTTCTCAATGTTCTCCAAGAGTGACTGGCTGCTCAGGGTTACCCAGTTTCCCCCAGGGGACTTGGCCCAGCCTAGCTTCAAGCCACAGGCTTTGTTGTTTGAATTTCAGCTTGCTCTCAATATGATCCCTCCTGTAGATAATATATTAATAACCTTAGTGCAAACACTGTAGACATGGAAAGTGAAATCCAATCCCTGCCCAGGAGATTCCAATCCTCAAGACATAAGGACCAAGCCATCCATCGAATTGCAAAAGACTTCAATGGAGGCAGCTGACTCAAGCCTGGACTTGACTCAGAATTCACTGAATACAGGGGAGTGAGCCTGAGACCTGATCTGCAGGCCAGCTTTGCAAAGGCACTCCCATTACTGAGATAAAAGAACAGCCTGTGACGCTCACCAAGAGTCTTTGCAGCAGATTTCTGAGAAAAGGAGGACAGGAAAAGGGCTTGTTTAGAGTACTCTATTTAGCTTTTTGAGAGTTGTTATGTTCTTTTACGAGAAGAATGGTCTGTAAATATTGCTAAGAGGAGCTCCTACCTTGTCATTTCAGACTACTACAGGGGGTATTGGTGGAGGGGAGGGACAATTCAGCCTGAATCTTCTACCCTCAGTATGTCTGAATATTAGATGAACAGTAGTGTTATAATACAGAGCAGAAGAGGTTTGTAGAATAAAATACGTTTTTATAGTGCTTTTTTTTTTGAGAAGGGTCTTACTCTGTCATCCAGGCTGGAGGGAAGTGGTGTGATCATGGTTCACTGCAGGCTCGACCTCCCAGGCTCAAGTGATCTTCCCACTTCAGCCTCCAGGTTAGCTGGGACTACAGGCATGCCCCACCATGCCCCACTATTTATTTATTTATAGAGATGGGGTTTTGAACTTCTGGACTCAAGTGATCTGATCCTCCTGCCTCTACCTCTTCAAGTGCTGGGGTTACAGGTGTGAGCCACCAGGCACTACCATGAATTTGTTTATATCATACTAATCTCCCTCATCATTGGATGAAATCTGTATCAGTTGTTAAGTTTTTGATGAAATTAATGGTGAATAAAAATGATTCTCAGTTGATATCCAGCCTAAAATGCCTCTGTTTAGAATGTTATGTTATGGGAATCTAATGTGGATGAAAAATCAAAACTAATTATATTTCTAGATTGCAACCAACAAAGAAAATTGTCTGTCCTTCGTTCTGGACTTGCAATCATCCTGGTAAATTATTGCTGTGATTACCGCTGTTGTTAGTTTGCTATTGCTACAGCATCTTAGCATCTCAGCTGGCATAAGATTTGTCCTTGATAAGCGAGCCAAAAGCCGTTCATCTGGTAATTCATTAGCTGGCTCTCTTCCAGAAGACTCTGGAACACCAAATGCCAGTTTTTGCTTTGACTTGCTACCAATCACTGGCAAGACAGAGAACGATGGAAACATATAGGGTAAAATGCAAAGTGTCTTCTATTTTACTTAAACTGTGTCTATCCTGGTCCCTCTTCTTCCTGTGGAAAGCAGCTTATTGACTTGGTCTAA